TTTTTTTTGTTTGTTTTTTTTTTTTTTTTTTTTTTTTTATGGTGATAAGAATATCCTGAAATTGATTTTGAAGATAGTTGTACAACTTTGTGAATATAATAAAAACTGTTAAATTGTTCACTTTAAGTAGGTGAATTATATCTCAATAAAGCTGTTAAAAAGAATGTCTATAAATCATATCTTCTTTCAGTGAAAATGACTTTGTATCAATTTCCTTAGCATAAATAGGCAAATGACTCAGTGTTAAAACTGTAATGTATTATTTTGTTGTAAAATTTAAAGCTGCCAGATCAATTGCTTTTATAAATGACAAGGAAATTAAATTTTGCTTTAAAGTATAGCTATATGTGCATTCATATATTTCCGTGCATATTTTATAATTTAATATCACCCAAAATACATAAAACTCTACCTTCCCAAACTTTCTCAAATATGACTGTAAAAATATAAGATATTTTAAATTCTAATCTCATAAGGACATCTTTTAAATGAAGAAATGCAACAATACATGAAGAAATGTAAATGGTTATCTAATGGAGATATTTAGTCTTAATGAAAGTCAGTTCTGTTTTTTTTACTTACAAGCTTTACTTTGTTTTGTTAACATGATATTTATTACAAGTCAGTTCTTATACACCGTATACTTTAGTTGTAAGTGTGACAGCATAATGACAATGCTTGGACTCTATATTGTTTTCAAGATTTATAGGATCAGGAATTTATATTTTTAATTTTTGTATTATATTTTCTTAAAGAATTGAACCTTTTTATCATGATGCAATATCCTTCATTATAGTTAATAACATTCTTTGTTCTAAAGTTATTATTATTTTTTTTAATATATCTCTATTGATTTCAAAGAGAGGAAAAGAGAGGGAGAGAGAAAGCTGGAAACATCAATGATGAGAAAGTCATTAATCGGCTGCAGCCCGCAACCCGGGCATGTGCCCTGACCGGGAATCGGAGCCTGATCGCCTGGATCCTAGGTCGATGCTTAACCACTGAGCCAGGCCCGGCCAAGGCCTAAAGTTATTTTCGTGTTGATATAGCTACTCTGTTTTTATTTCACTAGCCTTTGTATGGTGTGCTTATTGATATTTCATACCTATTTGCATTTGAATACTTTATAAAAATCTTATAAAGGAGTTTTAAAAAGTATTATAGTTTAACACTAAGTACTTTATATTCGTAGCTTATTATGTTGATAAAGTGATTTGTCATGATTTCTTAAAATGAGAAATACAGAAATCAATTATCTTTGAGATAATTGTAGCTATATTTCATTCTTGAACAAAAAGGCATTTTAGAGTTCAATAAACTATGTTTTCAAATCAATCTAATTTATTGTTTGATTTATTTTCAAATTAATTAATTAGATTCTTAACCAAATGGTTAGGTATAATTGGTTAGTTCATTATATGTTTCTATGACTGGTTTTCCCATTCATTTTACTTATATACTTACTTTGTGTTAGTTAGGAGCCATATATCAACTGTCTTTTATATATAGATCAATAATCATAGTTTTCATTTATAGTCACAAACATAATTAAAAATATCTACATTCAAGAGACTAGGCCAAAGTAACCTAATTATGAAAATAAGACCCCACTCATCCACTCCTGGTTATTTCTGATTCTCTAAGAATAATTTCTTCACAAATCAAGAATCAATTGTTAAAATATTGGAAGTCTCTAACATATTTATATATATATTTTTTTCATGTAACAATATTTATTTTAAGTAGCTAATAAAATATGCCTTTTTTAATATAAATTTTATCATTTGTTTCTCACCCTAACAGCTGCAGAAATAACTGTTCAACCAACTGTGGAAGAGGCCTCTGACAACTGCACTCAAGAATGTCTCATCTTGGGTCATTCTGATGCCTGCTGGATGCCAGCTGCTCTGACCCACGCCAGCCCTTCACACGCACAGGCCTCTGCTGTGTGCCACAGTCCTCCCCTGCCATCGGCCTCTGCTCTCCGCCGCCGCATCCCTGCAGTGACACAGACAATTGCTCTCTGCCATAGCCCTCCGGTGACCCAGGTTATTGCACTGTGCCATAGCCCTCCAGCAACACAGGTCTCTGCTCTCCACCACAGTCCGCCACTAGCGCAGGCTGCTGCTCTTCGCCACAGCCCCCCACCAGCACAGGCTGCTGCAGTCCACCGCAGCCCTCCTCTGCCACAGGCTGCTGCCCGCCATCGCAGCCCTTCACAGCCACCAGTGGGTTTGCAGCAAGGTTGGGGGCAAGGGGCTGGGCCTGAAGGACTACTGTCTCTTGATCAGGGAGTGCAAGGTAGTACAGGATCTCAGTTTTATACTATGTCTGAAAGATTTCATCCTAGTGATGATTCAGTTAAAGTCATTCCTTTGAAAACCTTCACTCCAGGAAAACAGGCTAGACCCTCTAGGGATGATTCTCCCATTATGGAAGAACATCCTTTATAAAGCTACAATGGCTAATTCACATTTTTCAACAGAATGTATATAATCAAAATTTAAGATCCAATTTCAATGAATATTCCAAATCGTTAGGTTTGTAAATAGCTATGTAAATAGAAACAGATACCAGAATAAACTCTAGAGCTAGACCCTTAGTCAAAAGATAAAAATAAAATGTACAATTTCTTTCATTTAGAATGTGTATTAAAAAAGAAAAGAAATTTAAAATCTCACATCCTTTGTACAGAAAGGCTTATCATGACAGATATTAATATGTAATGTATAGAATTTCTGATGCACTGTAATTTTTCATTTATTTTTACCAAAATGTGCAATATTACTGATTTTTTCCCCTTCTGATTTTTGTGGACCTAGTAGGTAGCAAATGGAAAACTGGCAAATGTCTGATTTTCCAAGCGTGCCTTTAGTTTATCTCAACTTTTGTTCAGATAACATTTGAAGGTATAAGTAGGGTCACATTTTTGTTTGTCTTCTTGTTTGATATATGTTGTTAGTCTCCAGTTTTTTGTTGTTAGTGTTTGTACAAAACTGCACAGTAGGGAGTGTAAATATCTCTTATATTTTTGTCTCTGTCTTTTTAATGTTTTCTACCTTTATTTGAAGAATATATTGTTGATATAATTTGTATATACATTTTCTGTAAAGAATATATATATGTAAACTGTACAGATTTCTGTCTATAACCTATTCTCTACTCTTTAGTAGAGTTCGAGACACTGAAGTGCAATATCTGTGCCCAAATTAGGCAAATATTTGCTAAAAGGGCCTCTTTCTATAAAAATTTGTCTTTGTAATTTAGTGTAAAGTGCATCATAAATCATATTGTATCTGCCATTTTAAGCCTATGTTCCATTATTAATTGGGTTTTTATCTTCTGAAATTTGTATATAAAAGCCTAGCAAATCACAAGGAAAATGGATGCATTCGATGCATGATTCATTTACAACTATGACTGGAAACTGCTATTTTCTAAAGACTGTCAGGAAGAGTTAAGTGTTGATATGACAACTGAATAGGCTGATACCAAAAGATGTTCAGTAATAAAAGTAAACAAATTAATATAACTGTATATAAAACCACATAATAAACCTATATGACTAAGGGATTTTTATCATTCTAGCTCAACTTGCTGAAGACAACCACTGATAACAAGATGAGAGTCAGGAAGGAACTTTTCAAGAGATGTACTTATAAATCTCCATCAAAAGTGTTACAGTATAGAATTTTAAGGAGATGTGCAGACGGAGAAATGAGGTTCATGACTGCTTCTTGGGGTAGATAAGAAATACCCTAATAACACACTCAAAAAAGACCCAACAAAATCTCGTATATGAAAACAAAATGTGTTCTAAGCAAAGAATACAGTAGTATTCCTAGGGAACATTAATTTCCTTCTGTTGTCTGTTCTTTATTTTCTTTTTTGTCCTTCTAACTGGCCATGATCTTCTATGTGCACATTTCACCAATATACAGGAACAGCACCAACTTAATTTTCCTCCATAGCAAAACCAAGAAAATGTCTTGTTTCAGTATTATACTAAATCAAGAGACAATTAATGTATTAACTGGGGGTGGGGGAAGTGAATATTTCTTGTTAATTAAATTAGATGTAGACTTTGTAATGTGTAACTTGAAGATATGTAATTTATGATTAAACTGTGTGTAAATGTTGTAATATAAAGTGTGGTAAATGTATAATTTCATTAGTGAAGGCTTCCACTGAATGTTGAGAAAGCTTCTCTTTTTGTGCCCAGCAGATTACGTAGCGTTTTGAGAATATATTGTTCCCATTGTGAAACTCTTTAAATCATATTTGATTTGGTGTGTAGAATAAATTCTTAACTTTTAGCTACAAGAGTTTAATTAGTGAAATTTTAAATTAATTTGTATTATTAATTTTTTTTCTCCATTGTGTTTGTTAATAATATTCAAAGGGATTTGCAGCATACTGGTAGTCCAGGTGCATGTGAACCCTGAAGGACCGATGATGTTTGTAAATTTATTGAAATATGACTGTGTATAGGTGTTGATATTATTGTTGATATTGTTGACAATTAAAATTTAAACCTGGGGAAGATAAAGAAACCCAGAATAACAAAATCAGAGCTTCCAGTAGAGTTTAGGCGGTTTTCTCTCCGAAAACTTGCAAAAATAATGTGTGAGTATTTGTTCTTGTATTTTAGTTATTTTCACATTTTTTTCTCTCCATATTTTAGTTAAGATCTACACACACAAAATTAAATAAATAAAAAAGAGATAAAAAGGAAAAACTGAAAAAAATCATTAAGGGATACATTAGGGATATGATTGATTGCTATGTAAATAAAAATAAGAATAGGAACCAAAATTAGATATTGGGGAATTTTTTTCTGATAGTGTGATTTATTAAGTCTTAAGTGTGGCTCTTAAATCCTCGTATCTAAAAATTGGCAAAGTTTTGTTACCTTTCCTAGAGCTATAGGAATGAACAAATATGCTTTTATTGCCCTTTCTAACTCTGATTATATAGTCAGACTTAGACTGTGTTCACAATATTAAAAGACTGGGCGCCCTCTTCTGCGTTTGTGCCAGAGAGGCTTTCAACGGAAGCAGGCGAGAAGCCAAGGAGGCGAGGGGAGTGAGCCCAGTTACTCTCCCCTTTGCATTCTCTCCCGAAGCTTCCGCGGGTCTGGCCTTGGCGACCTGTAAGGCCCGAGGCTTCAGATCTGATGAGGTCTTTCTCATCGCAGTGCAAATTCTTTCTCTGAATGGATGGACAGAGCTGTAGGTTGACAAAGCCCACAGGTGGCGCTTCTGGTGTGCAAAATTATATAGTCACAGAACCAGAAAAAGTCCTGTTTTACCATCGATCGAAAATAATTCCCTTGAAAAAAAAGAAAAATTTGATTTACTTTGTAATTAGAACTTCAAATTGAATGACAAGTATGATAATATGTTCAGTGAGACTCGTTATTCAATTTCTGTGGCGGTGTTCAGTTACGTGTGATAAATAATTTAGTAGCTATAGCGTTAATATATCACACTTATAAGTATGTATTCGAACGCTGTGTATCTTATATGCTAAGTGCATACACATTTTTTCCTTGAACTTTATCTTCAAGTTTTAGCTAATACTGTGTGGGTGTATTAAAAACAAACTTACATATGATACAAACAATGTAATAAATTTAGAGAGTACATTTTGTGTAGTCTCATTTAGTTATTTAACAATTTATTTCTGGTAATGTAAATTTGGTTAGCAAAAATGGTTGTTAAAAGATTAGTGCTATTGTGTATTGGTGACAGTTATGAAGAGCCTCTGCCTTCCCAAGCTAATATTTGTCACACACTTTCGTTAAAATGGAAAAAAAGCAGACTAAAATAATCACAAATTGTGCAGTCCTTACAATGTAATCTTGTCACACACACACACACACACACACACACACACACACACACCCTTTCCAGTCATGGGAAAATTAGTAAATTTGACCCACATGTATATTTCAACATTCGTTTTTTGTTGTTTACATTAAAATTGAATGTGCATATATCTCCTAATGTACACTTATAAACATCTAGCTGTTTACGTGTTTTTTACACACTTCTGATTCATATTTTCCAGTATGGTTATCATTTCTTGTTTTTCTTCTTTCATATTTGTTTCAAACCAAATTTATAGTTATGTTTAGATTAATTTTTTATCACAATCATTAGACAATATTTTGGATGTTGCCAGTTGGCACAAGTGCTCTAGAAAACATGGGAGCAAAAGAAGCTGAACTATATTTGGACAAAACCTTTTACGTTACGTGCCAATTACCACACCAGAGCAATTTTATGCAGAGGCCTTAAAATATTCATTCATAGTAAATTTTGTACATTAACAATCCATGTGCTTTCAGTAAATGTGATTTTCAAAAGCAGTGCAAATTGACAACAGCAGAAGTAGTAATGAAAAAGCTACTCAGAAAATGTGTGTGCACAAATGAAAAAAAATGAAGGCAATTGTTTAGTGATTGTATGTGATCTTTGTAGAAATAAAATGTGTGCAATTTATGCTATCTCTGCTTAAAATACTTGGAATTTTATGAAATATAGATTTATGTTTGTATTTGGAAAAGATTCCTCCTCTGTGACATCATACAGCATCGGAAAGTGAACAGTATCCCAAAGCAGCTCTAGCCACGCTTTGGAAGTGAGAAGGTTGGATATTGTATGGCCCAGGATGGCAGTATGTAGTCCAGTGGCAAATGTGTATTAATTGTTGTATTTCAGGTTCTGTATTGCATGTTTTCTTATATTCATTAATATAGGTATTAATAAAGTTATAAAAATAAAAGTGTGTTTTTGTGTGTGTGTTTGCTAATTTAAAAGTCAAAGGTTTTATTTCATTTTAATTTGGTTTTTAAATTCATATAGAGTAAAATATACCTTGGTGGTGGTACACTTCTATGAGTTAGCATCCATTTTTGTTTACTCTGGTGGGCTATTCAATATAATTCTTTGAATGAACATCATTTCTCTCACTTTTCAAAGTTGGTGAAAAATACTGTGGTGTTTTAGAACATTTATATCTTTCAAGACTAAATTAAGAGATATTTACAGGGTGGGGCAAAAGTAGGTTTACAGTTGTTTGTATGGAAAATGGTACAATAAATAATAATACAAGAATAAACTCTGTGTTTCATGTAATCACAACTGTAAATTTACTTTTGACCCATCATGTATTTACTTTTACCCAGTGATCGCATTTCTAAGAATATATATATTCTAAGAATCCTGAAACACTAATCAGAAAGAATCTATGCACCCCTATGTTCATAGCAGCACAGTTTACAATAGCCATGATCTGGAAAAAGCCCAAGTTCTCATCAGTAGATGAGTAGATAAAAAAGCTGTGGGACATTTACACCATGGAATAATAGGCAGCTGTAAAGAAGAAGGATCTCCTACCCTTTGGGACAGTATGGAGGGACCTGGAGAGTATTATGCTAAGTGAAATAAGCCAGGCAGAGAAAGACAAATATCACATGATCTTATATGTGGAATATAATGAACAAAATAAACTGATGAGCAAAATAGATCCAGAGACATGGAAGCAAGGAACAGATCTATAGATCTTAAAGGGAAGGCAGGAAGGAAGGTGGGAAGGGATTAACCAAAGACCTTATAAGCATATATGAACAACCCATGGACACAGACAACAGACAGATGGGGGCCTGGGGTGGGGTGGGAGATGAGTGGAGGGAGGTAAGGGGGAGAACTGGGGGACATCTGTAATACTCTCAACAATGTAAGCAAAACAAAACAAAAATAAAAGAATAAGCCTATTTCCCCATTCAATGTAAAAGCCACCTAAAGATTTCTCTATACAACCTTTTAGGATCCAAATGAAATAATTTTCTGGAGAATGTTGATAATATTAGTAGAACAAAATAACTTCACTGCTGGTTTCCCTTTTACTCTGGCTAAAAGGAGAAAATCCCAGTACACTGAAACCTCTCAAGCTGCACAGGATTAGTTAATATTCAACTGCACTTGGCATTTTTACTAGTCCTGAAGTTTGAGTAAAATTTATAGAGCACATAATCTGGTGCTTTTTGTCTTCTTTCTTTTCTTGTCCATCTTTCTATTATTGTGATATTGATTTACTCATTATCACTTTGAGTTAGCTGATGAAGGAAGGAAAAAAATCAAAATTTTAAATCAAGCAAAAAATTAAGCTTTGGCAAAAAGAGATCGGACTTTTAGAAATATAAGTGTAAGTTAATTTGTGTTATTTCTCATCCTGAGTCCAGCCATGTGTGAAAAAAAAGTTGACTGCAGTGAATAATGTGTAGATTAGAAATAATCAGATTACATACAGACATTATCATAATAGCCTGGGCAGGAACACTAAAGACCTGCGAGAGGGAATATGATGAATACATACTTTGTGAATAGGGGAAAAGTGCCATGCTGGAGAAGAACGGTGAAAATCTCTAATATTTCAATGAGCAGAAAAATTAGTGAGCTAATATGTAGTTTGATAAAAAACCTAATTGAACTTGCTGATCTTACTGACATAGTCACACTACTTTATAAAATAAGTTGCTAATGGTGTAATAAAAATAGCTTCAAACAAAACAAAATACAAAATACCCATGAAGCAGGCAAGTAGATTCAGAATTTAACTTCTGTATTTTGGGTTACAAACTCCATTGTCTTTTCAAGTAGCTGAGGATATATAGCTGCATAAAAACAACTGAAGTTTAACCCATGCACAGGCTTAACTCCTATCATGGCTATCAAAGCATGCTAAAGTTAATTGGGAAATAGAAAAAAAAAAAAGACACACACACATACACACACACACACACACACAAAACCACCAAAAACACCATAATCCTGTCAGTGACTTAAGTAACTCAAGGATGTACTCACACTACGTTTTCTTCATAAACATTTTTTGAATAGTTTTAAATTTACAAAAAAATTGCAAAGATAACACAGTTCCCAAATACCCCACTCCCAGTTTCCTCTATTATTAACATGGCATATTTGTTATAATTAATAAACCAATATTGATACATTATTATAAATTAAAGTCTATAGGTTATTCAAATAGCCTTAGATTTTTTTCTTAATGTCCTTTGTCTGTTCCAGGATCCCATTCAGGATTCTATATCACATTTAGTCATGTCTCTATAAGCTCCTCCAGACTGCAACACTTTCTAAGACTTTCTTCATTTTTTAAGTTAAATTTCATTTTTTAAATACACTTTACATCCAACATTATTTTGCATTGGTTTCAGGTGTACAGCATAGTGGTTAGACAATCACATACTTTACAAAGTGGTCCCCCTGATATTTCCAGTACCACCTGGGACCATACATAGTTATTACAATGGTATTGACTATATTCCCTATGCTGTACTTGGCATCCCTGAGACTATTCTGTAACTGCCAAAATGTACTTCTCAATCCCTTCACCTTTTTCACACAATTCTCCAGCCCCTCTTCCTTCTGGCAACCATCAGTCTGTTCTGCATCTGTAAGTCTGTTTCTATTTTGGTTGTTTATTTTGTTCTTTAGACTCCATGTATAAGTGAAATCATATGGTATTTGTCTTTCTCTGACTTACTTCATTTAGCGTAATACTCTCTAGGTCCATCCATGCTGTTGCAAATGATAAGATTTCATTATTATGGCCAAGTAATATTCCATTGTATATGTGCACCACCACTTTTTATCCACTCGTCAGACTCTCTTAATGATGACCTTGACAGTTTTGAGGAATATTGGTGACATATTTTGCAGAATGTCCCTCAACTGGACATTCTGGTGATTTTGCACTCTTTTTTTTTTTGGTTTAAAACAATAGAAATTTATTCTTTCTCCCTTTCAGAGTCTAGATATAGAAAAAGGAAGGTGTCGACAGAACCATGTTCCCTCCAAAGCCTCTGGGCTCTTCCTTGCCTCTTCCAGCTTCTGGAAATCCCAGGTGTGCCTGGGCTTGTGGCAGTATCACTCCAGTTTCCACCTCTGTCTTCACATGGCCATGTTCCCTACATATGTTTCTGTCTTCTACTCTTAGTGGGACACCAGTCATATTAGATTAAGGGCCCACCCT